ATTATATACTAAATTGAAGGAAACAAGAGCTGCCTAGAGTTAACCCATCTGATGATTGTGGTTTTATGGGCTTTTTAAGAATCTCTATGGCACTGCATAGATGTTTTTCTAAAAACTGAGGAGAGGCTGTGATACAAATAACGTTGATACTGTAATTACTGTTAGAATGTTTAAAACCTGCAAAAGTGCTTTCATGTATTTTGGAATCACACCACCACCCGCTCCCCAAGAATAATCTGCATCCATTTTTAAAGTGATGATGCTTCTGTGAAAGCAAACTTTGGTCACTATTTAATCTGCATATAGGACCATGTTATTTTTATAATAAAATCAAAAGCAAATCCTGTATATGTACAAGTAAACACAAACATACATCCTAAAGGTGCCTATGAGATTGTACACTAATATGATCAGGAATCAATTGATGTTCATAAGGAGTATTATTTTCCTTTGTCCCAAGACATCTTAAAATGAGACTAGGTGTGCAGGCTAGATTAATGGTACATCTAGGCCAGTATTCTGCCTCCAGTAATAGCCAAAAGTACAGAACAGGTCACGAACGTGTGATATTTCTCACTGATACCCTTCTGACCTCCAACTACTTTAATGTCAGGGACTTCTGAACCGTACATGATTTCTGTTAGTTTAGCAACTTTCAGTACATCACCCTTCCAAGCAATAGCCCACGCTCCCCCTGGAAACCGTATCAGTTCCTAGTATCTACAGCATACTTTTGAAAAGTTGTCCCACAGGTCTCTCCACTACCAATTTTAAGGAGAACCTCTTCCTTTTGAAGGCTCTGAAACTGTCTTCCCTCCTAACTGTGTATGTTCTTGTTTTGAAAGGCAGTGGTTAGTCTGCCTCTTCCTTCCTCTGCAGATCTCCATGACATTGCCCTCAATTCATTCCTTTCCCAGACCAAAATCCCAGTTTACAGAAGTGTTCTTCATATGGAAGCCACCCCATGTAGCTCATCATCCTTGCTGACCTTCTCTAAGCCTCTTCCAGTTCTAATAAATCCTTTCCGAGATGAAGGCTCCAGAAGTGCACGCAGCACTCAGGAGGCAACTGGACCATACACTCTTGTAATGACAATCTCAATTTTGTTCTGTATTTCTTTCCCCTAACATTTGGGTTGTGTTTCGGTGACCAATGAGCTCAGGATCTCACAGAATCACCAATCGCAATCCCCAAATCTTCCTCCTCAATTGTAATAGCTCAAACTCATAATCTTATATATAATCAGGATTGTTCTACCCAGTGCTCCTCAGTTATACTCATTTATCTACACTGAATTTCATCGCCCATTTTGTTGCACAGCCCTCAGCACTTTAATGTCCTTTTACTGTTTTCCACAGCTGGCCCTCTTCTTCACAGCAAACTTGCTCACCCAATTGCTCATCCCCTTACTGATACCATTTATGAATGTGATGAACAGCACAGATCTCCGTGGAATGTAAGTGGGACCCTCCTCTAATTGAGAATTGACCTTCTACTTCTACCCTTTGATCCTACCTTTTAATCTGTCATTTACTTATGCAAAGACCTTCCCTCTTACATTATGGCTCCTAAGTTTCCTTAAAAAGCCTATTTGATAAAGTTCACTTTGATTTTTGAACCAGAACATCTTTAATTCTTGCTGATGCCTCCAAAGAACTCCAACTCCCTAAGACAGGACTCCCTTACAAACGCTGCTTTGACTCTTCCCAAATAATCATACCTACCCAGGTGGCCAGCAATTCTATGCTTTATTATAGCATCTACCAAAATTGCCTGGTACAGATTTCAGATTTGCCTGGTGCAGGCCTGCCTGGCCCAGACCAGCCCTGAAACCATGATTTTACATACTTACATTTCAGAAGATTTTTCTAAACCTGAATACTTTAGGTTGTACCATTTAAACAACATAATTAGGTTGCAGAGCACAACTAGATAGGATAGGAAGTTACAAGTTTTGCTTTTTGAGACAGTCATCTAACTTGAATTGTAACGCAAGATGTTTTTAACAGTTTCAGTACTCAGTCAAGTAAAAGGGTTTCTGGTGCTCTAGTCTGCTAGGTGGAAATCACAATGACGTCGGTGAACTCAAGATAAACTCCACTCATATATATCACCACACAACATAATCCCGTGCAGCTAGTGATCTCTGCTCGGTCAGAGAGAGACGGTCTGAACTGGAACAGCACAGAAAAAAGCAGCCACCAGTCACTCCACTTTGTGCTGTGCTCCTCATTTAAGCTGAAAAAGTAAAACTTACCAAAGAGCTCAGTAATTTCACTTGAAGGTCTGCTAGGCAGACAGCACAAAGGAACTGCCAGAAGGCAGGGACAGGTTTTAAATAGCAAAGTCTGTAAAATAAGCATGGACTAGAAGTCAGAAAACATAGGACTACAATAATCCAACCAGTGATTCATCATTTGGGCTTGGAGAAATCCTCTACCCTACCTCAATTTCTGTCTGCTACTAAAAAAAAAAAATATATATATATATATACACACACTTACCTGTCTTGCTAACACAAGCTCAAATAAGAGGGGCAAGGTGGTGGGAAGAAGTCTTTGAAAAATCGCAATACCACATAGAAGCTGAAGTGACTGTAATAGGACAAGACCCTTCACAGGAGAGTTAACTTTGCCTCATGAGATTAGGTTAGATGGTTGGGAAGCTCACATTTGGGACAAAATGACAACTCATGAAGGACAGAAATAAAGTGACTGAGAGAAAGGGTAGCCTCCCCAGTACATATGCTGCATCCTGGGTGTAGGTAGTAACTCTACACAGTTGTCCAAAGAACGTAGCAGAAGCCCAGTCCTGCCCTGAATCACGCTGCCTGAACAACATTGCCTGGGGGCAAAAACTGTGACGGGGTTTAGCATTGCTTTTTTCATAACCTTGGATTTTCATATGATTTATTGACGCTATTCCAATTAAAATGCTGATCCTGGTTGCCCCGTCTCCTCTGCCTCTTATCCCAGCCCCCAAAGAAAGGCAACAAGTAAGAACGAGTGCCCAATTTCCAAGCAGCTGCTAATCTTCCAATACACTCTGCAGTCGAGGAACTGCTGTTCTATCTGAAAAGAAAATACTTCATAAATTATTGTAACTTTACATTAAATAAAAAGTGTCACATTTAGTCACGATGGCCTTTGCTACTGCTGCTACAGCTGCGATGCTGGATGATTGTATCAATGACCTTATGAGCTAAAACACAAAAGCCTTAGGAAAGGAGAACTAAAGATGCAGAATACTTAGGGTAATGCCGAAGCAAATCCCTCTTCAAAGCTGTAATCAGTGAGCCTTTCAGAACTTGCACAGCGCAGACGCTGAATGTATTTCTGACTCTGTTCATACGTACCAGGCTTTGTCTATGCAATGATGTTAGCATACACCTAATCAGCTTACTCTGATTACAGTGACTTCACAGAGTGTTTGCATGCCATTTTGCTATGAGAACACCCTTGTTAATGACGTAAATACATAGCTCTGCATTTGTTCCCATCTCCCATTCGGCGTGTTGAGTGGTTCATTTACAATGCTCTGCTTCAGTTTGTCATGCAACACATTTTGGGATGCGCATCTTAATAATTCTGAGATTTGATGCCAGATTAATGAACAATTAAAAGCAGTCATGCGTAATTTAGAGCTACATGATTGAACACAGCAGAGGGAGATGAAGCCAGGCAGTTAGTATCCAGAACAGCCACCTGGAGTACAATTTTTGGATTCAGGTGACCGGCAGCAACTACTAGTTTCAGGCAGCAAAGGCAGAATGTGCCAGAAGTCCACACAGATTCTGCCCTGGAGCTGCACCAACAGAAAACCAATCTGGGATCTCCTGTCAGCCTGATGAAATGTCATAACGATGTAGTCACCAAACAACTTTACCATTAAATCACAAGGTGATCAGCTTGTTATTGGCAGGGCAACCAAGTCAGGAAGGCTGACAGTCGCATGAGGAGATTTCTCCATGTCTGTCAATGCACAGGAGGTCACGGACAGCTTTGAAGGGACAGGGTTCCCTACTGGCACAGAAGCAGGTGGTGAGACGCATACCTGTTGCCCTACTCTACCCTAGCTCCACCTCCCAAACACACAGGCTTAAGACTTTATCAACATGATGGCATATTCCTTCACAGTCCTGCTGGACAGAGTTTATCGCAGTAAGCATTCACCAATACTAATAATGGGTGGTCTACGACAAAACACCTGTGTCCTACAAGGTAATTTTTGTTCTTCTCCACAGTCCAAGACACCAGGGCATTTAAGAGCTCTCCTCTTTTTTTTTTTTAAAGCAACTTAGTGGACTTTGCTTCCCTGATTTCCAAGCCTACGTTAAGTGATGGGAGAAAAACACACGCAAGACTTTGCCTTGAACAGCTGCAGACTGCCAGTGGGGCAGGCTTCCAGAAAGGTGGAAGGAAGATGGTGACAAAAAAGATAGAATAAAAATAGTCTTATGACTTTATGGTACGCATCAATGTTTCATGCACGTTATGGGAAAAAATCCCGGAGGGCAGATGGAAACATGAAATGGAGATGCTTTTGAGAGTCCCGGAGAACGTATTCCTCTAAATGCTCTCCAACAAGACGCTTGAGCTCCTTTCACGCTGTGGGAAAGCAGCTGTAGGCTAGCAAAAAAATTTGCAATCAAAAGGTATGTTTTAGTTTAGTTTTATTTTCAAAAAGTTGTGAAGAGATGAGTTTTACAATAGCCGGGTGTTCAATTATTTTTCAGACAGGTGTTTAGAAAATGGATTTATTTACCGATTTAGCTGATGGTGCTTTTTCAATGAAAAAAATAATGACCTTAAAAACAAAGTAGGTCGTGCAAGGAGTGCTCCTCTGGATGATGTACATAAGATCCTGAATACTGTCAGGCAACATTTCCAATCAGCTCAACTGACACAGTGATCTCAATATGGAACATCTTCTATGTTTTACAGGGTGTTGAAGGTAAAGTGCTTGACCAGTGTTTTGTTACAACTGTTTATGTTTAGCACCTTTGTATTGCCTGTTTGTTGTCCCCTTCCAGAATCGCATAATCCATTTCAGTCTTCTGGGAGTTCTCCAGGAAACCCTCCTTTCACCACTCTGCCTTTGCAACCTCCTGCTGAGCTGAGCTGACAATTTCAAGGTTCAGATCCACCTTTTGTTTATCTTCTGAAATTTGATGGCTATCTTTTAGCTAATAATTCCCCTCTTCATATGGGCTGCAGCTTTTTTACGTGCTAAGAGAAATCAGAAAAAATAAAGATGTTACTAGTCACCCCACTCATTACAAACTCTATTTTAATACTGCTAACTAGTTTCTTCCCTCATGACCACATCCAAATTCTTTTCCCCCAACTTTTCTTTTCACCGTGTTCCCTTCAAAACTGCAAGATGCCTTCCAAATTACTTCCACATACTACATATGCTGTTGTAGGTTTTTCTGGGACATACGTAATGGGGTAAGTTGTTTGCTATTGTTTCAAAACTTGAAATGGTCAGACACTGTTGGATAGGCATTTGAGTATAAAGGGTTCTGCCTTTGTTTTTTTTTTAAAAGAAAAAAACAGTAGGCATTACATTTGTAACAGCACACATGTGCAACTAACTGTCCTCATGCTGAAGGATATTACTCCCTAGCAAATTCTTGGGAGACTTAAGGGTCCCATTTATAAAGACAACAGGCAAACTGCGATAATACACTGCAAGGCTACCTATCAACAAGCTTCATCCAGGAGTGCTAGAGGAGCATTTCCTTAAAGAAAAGGGGGGGGGGGGAAGAAAAAGAAAAATCCCAACACCTCTTTTACCTGCAATGTTTGTGTCAAACCTCCCTCCCACACACTCTTTTCACTCCTATAAATTACTGTAAAATACACTGCAAAATCAAGAAAATTCTGTAGCAGTTGTTACATATACACAAGCTCACTCTACTAAATAAAAGTTTTAGAACAGCAAAGCAGTTCAAAATTCCTTGTGTACTTCACCCTCAGCAAAGACTGAGCACGCTAATGAAACTCTGTGACAGCAGAGCTTTATATTTGAGGCTGCATTAAGATTTATAAACACTCTGAGCATGACTAAGGTCTGGAGCAGGGGGGCAGCATAACCAAAGCTGGGGAAGGGCTGTGACTAGTGAGGAGGAAATGAGAGGAGATCAAATCAGCTGAGAAAGGAGGCAGAAAAGTGCAACTCATGTTTGGGACTTGGCACAGCAAAGAAATATACCGTTAAAGCTTTAAAGTGAGACTGATGAGAGGATGCCATTCCGGGGAGGGGAGCAAGAGTGGAAAAAAAAAAAAAGCAATATGAAAAATGCAAAAGCATCAAAAAGTGTGATCAAGAGCTCTTGTATTTGTGGAGTCAGGTCTGGCTCAGCTGGGACCGGTGTGCTCCTTGCTGCGTCTAGCTGGGCTGCGCTGCTCCATGCTTTCCCCACAGCCGCAGGGCTCCCCAAGGCAGGCAGGGAGAGGGCAGCGTGCTCCGTGGTGACATCAGCGCCAAGAGCAGGGTCACCCCTCTCCTTCTAGAGATCTCCAGGCTTCCCAACTAGGGCAAGGTAGCTATGGGACAGAGCCGCAAAGACTTGGGCAATGAAGACAACCTGATGCCACTCCTCGTGGGATGGATCTCTTACACAGAGGGTAGAGAGTGCGGAGAACGAGGGGAAGGAAAAGACGTGGAGGTACAAGGGAGCTGACACAGTAAAGTTTCTGAGAAGTCTTTCAGTACAGCAGGACTGATAACTAGGCAAGGGTAGCTGAGCGAAGACTGAACAGAATTTGCTGGATTTGACATGCAAAACTTTGGGGTGGGGGATACCAACAGTAAAGGTTATTACTCTGGGTGAGAGGGTAAGAGAAATTAAGACATGTAAGGACAGTAGCTGGAGTGCAGAAGTTCGGACGTTGCCAGGGAGTGACAGTGCATCTGGGTGAATGAGGAGCCCACAGCAAATAAATATAACAAGAGTCTGATCTGAGTTTGAGAACGGCTAAGTTAAATGGCAAGGGGAAGGCTGCTACCTGAGCCAGAGAGCTCCGCTCCAGAAAAAGTAGTTTAAACCCTCCTGTGAAGTTATTGTGCAACTGGGCATGCAATACTTACTGGATCGGCTTCCTCCTCCAGCCTCTGCAGGATCCTGTAGCCGTTTCTTGGGTATTGTTCACGTCTGATGAGTCACAGTGCTTGCAGCAGGCCCAGGCCCAGCTGGACACTATGGCATAGGTGAGGCTACTGACCTTTATTTGCTGGGTTTCTACCCGGTTACCTCAGGCCTCTGCTGTGGCACTGTGCACCATCCGGGGGGAAAAAAAATAAATCACTCCTGGATTCGGTGGCAATGTCACTTGCAGAACAACAGCCCAGAGCACGTACGAGGGCACTGATCAAGAATCCCGTTGTGTTTCTTTGTCTTCTGCTACATCCTTTGTGGTGCTTTGTGTTGATTCATCCCCGAGGCCAGGTCCAGGTGTGCTCTCTCGCTTTCGTTTATGTGGGCAGTGACCTGTACCTGTCCATCCCGCAACAATTCGTATCTGAGTAGGGTCAGACATACATGAACTGGAGGCCACCAGAGCCTTGGCAGACTCTTCAAAACTAATCAGTTGTTACAACCAACTTGCTTACAACCCCCACCACAAAAAGCAGCACTCTTGGCTACCTGCCAACACGTACAGAGCATTTACCTCCAGTTCAGGATGATCCTGGAGTAAAGGAGGACATGGGTAGTGAGCCAGGTGGGAAGAAATACAAACTCCAGCACGTTATAAGCAATTAACCCAAAGAAATCTTAGAGCAGAAACTAACTGACCGCAACAAGCATTTACTGCACTTACTACAGTAAGTAGTCCTTTTTGGTATAACTTTGAGAATTAAGTTCAGCGTGGACACATGATGCTGTAAAGGAACTGAAGTGTGTTCAGGGTAACATCCTACTGTGGACTAAGCCATAGTAAATTGTTTTTGTTAATTATTTCCCAGTGATCAACAGCCTAGACATTCTTTCTCACTACCTCCATTTTAAGGTTCACAAAGGGACAATTCTACCTATTATCTGCTTGAGTGAATCCTATGTTTCCATACTTAGAAAAGCAAAATAGAAGTAAAAAAAGAAAATGCAGTAAATTTTGCATGCAGTTTCTGTTTGTTAGGGCAAATCTTTTTTTCAACATACAGGAAGAATATCATGCAGAAGGTAAAAAAAATCCCCACAATAGATTATTCCTCATCCTCTGCCTTTAAGAGACTACTCTAATAGATAACACAAACAGGTTTGAGCAACGGTAGTAACTGTTTTCAAGCATATCTTCTCTAAGCCACTGAGGTGCCAAAAGAACAGGTCAGGTGGACACGTATTTCAGATCTGCTGAGTCCTGGTCTCATCTCTCTCATGTACCCTTCTGCAATTTTGAGCAAAAGCAGCTTGTATCTACTGCCTATCAGCTAGTGCATTTTTATCAACCTCCAATCCTTGCTTAAATAAAGAAACAAAACCACTTAACTAAATCCAGCCTACCTCTCTGTCAAGTATGCCCTTTCTCTTGCAACCTGACCTGACCATCCCTAGTTTCTAACGAGCAGCCCTAGCCACTCCGCTCTCGCAGATCCTCCACCACCCATTAGAAATCGCAGCGCCACACTCCTCCTTCAAAGGCTTCACTGCTCTAATGGCAAAACCTGAGGAATCACTTCAGCTCCTCGCTGCAAAAGCCTGTAGGTCACTGTGAATAAAGCGTTAGAGCCTTCTATTAGATACACAGGCTGTCCTTTATTTACAAAGGTTTGGGTGTTAAGACGACACCACTACAAACAGAAGGAGTGTTTATTTACAGATATCATTAGCAATTTACAAGAAAATGTAATAAACAGGTCAGATATGAACAGCTGAAGCACTGAGTGGCTAACTGGATATTTCAGCTATCTTAATCAACTTCAGTATTGCATCAAATGCTGTAAGAGAGCGACAGATCACTAATGCCAAGTTAGTCATTTTCAGTAACAGTTCTCATGGAATTTTTTCCTTCTAAATAATCAAAACAATTGGTCATTGGACCTTATAAGGAAAAGTGCCATACCAAACAGAATTTCATAAAATACAGCTGTTTTAACTTCACGGTTCCCTCCAGCATATCTGCAGCACCTGAATTTTGGGGCTGCATTTTTATGTTTTTTTTTTAAACAAGATGACAAGATAACACTATTAAAATAATTAGCAGTAGAGTAACTTGCTCAGATGGTTTCATCTGTTCTTACGACAGTGAGAGACATTCAATAAAACCACAGCATAGCAAATTTTAAACTAATAAACACCAATAGTTTATTTTTTAACAGCAAAGTATTAGCCTGTGAGATTTACTGCCGGAAGGTAGCATACAGTTACACAGACAAGACTTACACAGATAACTGGATCATCCAGAATTACTATATGATTTCAAGAGGGCTTCAGAAAAAATAATACCAACCCTCTTTTTTCAGGACAAAATCCAAACCAGCAGAGAGTTAAATAAGAGAGGATCTTCTCCTCTGTATCTTATGGTTATACCACCCCTTGAAGCATCTGATAGCAGCTAATATCAAGACAAAATACAGGACTAGACAGAACAGTAGTCAGAATTCCTGTGTCGTATCAGATCTAGGGAGGATAACACTTTTGTGAACTCCAAACAGCAGCCTCCCATCTCTCCAGAGCATCGTTTGAAACATGCAGTCAAGCTTGCCTCGAGTATAGCAAAGTATATGTTTAAGACCTCGGGCACTGGGATACCTGCCAAGTCACAACAAATATCTACACATAATCTAATCTACTTAAATTTTGAGTGGAAACTCTGTGCCCTTTAGATATATCCCTCAAGGCTACGAATAGCATACTTGTTGGACAGGATGAAGTTTCCCTGTGTAAGTAATAACTGAGCTCTTCTGGCATCTAACCACGCCTCCTGGCTTCTTCCAAAACCAAAGATCGGGGAGGGAGGAGTGATGAGGATGAAGGTGAGGAGGTTTGGAGATAGGGGCGAAAGGAGATGAAGGAAGAGGAAACAGAGACAAATTATAGGTGGATTAAGAACAACAAGGCTCTCTTAATAAAACAGTTATAAGAAAGCAATCTCTTCCCCCCCCCCTTTATCTGGCGGGTGACAAGTCGGTAAAAAAATCCCCAAAATGGAGAATCCCGTGAAGAGGAAAGGGGGCCTAAAAAAGTGAAATGAAGCAAAGCAGAGGCAAAGCAGGAGTGTTAACAAATTGCAAGGCAACGCTCACTGTCCAACAGATTTGAATACAGACAGGATTATTCACAGCCTTGGTATGGTCACCTTTTCTTAGGAAAAAGTGGCTAGAAAGAAAGCCAATGAAATCCTTGGGAGCCTGTACGGGCTTCTACAGCTAAAAATAAAATTAACAAAACAGAAATCAAAACAGTTTAGAATACATATGAATGTAAACAAACGGGCATATTTTGACAGCACAAAGCAGTAGTTAAATAACTGCGTTGCCTTCTAAAATGAGGGCATATTACTATTTTTCTTTAAAAGCAGGTGACTATTGGGTTTGAAATTTCATACCACACTTGTTTCTATGACCTATGAACCTTCTGTTAAGAAAAGCTAAACAACTGGATTTATTTTAATAAGAGATCTTTGCATTTGGACTCTAGAAGAAAAATTTCACTGGCAGCCTTACTTCCTACCACTAACCAATCTCTTAAAATATATTATCTACTAATCCTTTAAAATACTTGGTCTAATTGCACACAATAATGGACAGACTTATCTGAAGCAGATCTAGTGTGGTCTACACTACTTGTTTTAGCAGGATTTTTTTTTTTTCTTTACTTCTGACAGATAATGTTACAACTACAAATTTCAAACTGCAACTGCCCTGCTTACCCAAATCTGAGTAGCAGAGGGCAGGCAAGGGAGATGTGGAGACTCGTGCCCATGCCATCAGTGTTTGTAACTGCACAAACGAGCAGTCTTTAAGGAAAAAGAAATATTTTTTTTGGTTTGTTTCTTTTTTTTGGGGGGGG